AAAAAAAAAAAAAAAAAGAGATTTAAGGGACATAAAAAAATATACTCGTGTAAACTTTGTTTGAATCCTGAATTGGAAAAAAAACAACTATAAATGAACTTTGTCTATTGTTGATCTACTTTCATCCATTTGATGTTTTTGGTTTTTCAACTCCACTTTAAATGAAAATGTGTGATCTTCCATCTTATGCATTATTCTTCCCAATATATATCCTGATGTTACTACTCATCTTATTTTTGTTAATATTATTAGGGCATTTGAAGTTTTGGAGAGAGGTATTATATAATGTCAAAACAAAGATGAAATCAAAGTGGTTAGGGTATGTTATATTTTTCAAATTAGGCTTGTATATATGTGAATATTCTAAGGTCTAAAGTTTATATTCATATATATTTTATTGATTATTATGTCCTGGTCTAAGATTAGGTTATAAACTAGAAACAATTAAAAAAGAAGTTTCTAAATTTATTTTTAAAAACTATGGAACTTGAACTGATTCAATATTAAAAAAACACTGGAAATTCCGTAATACTCTTCCAATAATCGTGACTCTTTTACAAGTTGTGTACACTTAATATATTATATTATATTATATTTATTTATTTATTTATTTTACTTTTAGCCCAGCCATCCTGCCACCTGTTGGCAGCTCAGCGGCAGCTCAGCTCGGGCCGGGCATTGAACCGCTGTTGTTCAGAACTCAAACTCTTAAGTGAGCTCTTAACCAACTGAGCCACTCAGCTGGCCCTTAATATATTATTTTATCTATGAGTAACAGCATTTCTTTCATGCTACTCCACCCACTCACGTTTTCAGTTGCTAATGGCCTGGTCTGATAAATATACACTTAATTCTAAGCCCATGCCATAAAATGTATCATTGAGTTCCAAAATTTTCTTTTCACTGCTCTTAGCTCATAACTTATAATACAAAGAATTATTTTAATGCAATAATACTACAAAAACCAAACTAAAGATTATTCATATAACTTGCAAAAGTAATTATTGAGGTGATACAAGAATTACAAGTATATTTTGGGTTAAGTGTAGTTTCAAGTGTTTATTAAAAAATAAAACAAAACATTTCTATTTACTTTCCTATTTTTCTCTTACAGCTTTTGAGAAGACTAGAACCATTATTTATATATTAGCATTAATACTAAGCATCCACATAGCTTATGGGTTGTACATTGCATTTCAATACAATCTTGACCATTAAAAATATAGTGAATTATTTTTATTATATATTCTGGGTAAAATTAAAATAAATAATGCACAAATAATTTAATAAATCTTTATGAAATACCTACTATGTTCCAGGCTTTGGGAACACAAAAATAAATAAATGGTCCCTGCCATTAAGAAGGTCACAGTCTTAAGGGGGACACAGATAAGTATAGCAGACAATTTAATGTAGTATGACAGCTTTGAGACTGGTATGAACTGCAGGAACCTTAAGAGCGCCACTTAATCCAGAATGGTAAAAGTTAGGAATGGTTTCCAGGTCAAGATGATGAGTTTTGCAAAAAAGATTGCCCAGCAAAGAATTAATGGTGGTGAGAGTAAGAACACTCCTACAGAGGGGAGTGCCAAATAGTTCTTGAGACTGGACTGCCTGATCTTTAAGGCCTCTTCCAACTCTAAGAAAATGGTAAGAGACAACCAATCACCTGCTTGATCCTACAAAGGAAATTTGTAGAGTGGGGCATCTTTCTGATATTTGCCTAGTTGTTAAATACTGGTTTCCTGGATTCTTATTTTTCATGCTATATAGCACAATTTAAGAAGAAAATCCCATACTAACTAAAATGTTTTGTTGACACTTTCTACTATAGTGCTGACCAAGGATTCAGGACGAACAATCTGGTATAGTGAATACTATACCATCTACTTTTAAGAAAAAGAGAACAAAAGTTAAAGGTTCCTGGAAAGCTATAAACTTTAACACAGTCAGTTATTTAGGGTTCTCTAAAACAATATTTTTCTTTTAAATACAGAGAAAACAAAAAGGAGCCGTCCTTTTGGTTATCCTTGAATAGTCCACTAGATGGTGCTATGAGGCTGTCAGAAAGAAAGTGAGTTCCTAAGAAAAATAGTATGGCACTTCTCATGGTAGTTGTGTTCTGAAAACTTTCCATATATTTTCAGTCCCTGAGAGCAATTCCAGGTCTATAGGCAAATAATGGGAACCATAATCTCACAAGTTTTAGCCCTGTGATCAGATTAATTTTTAAACTAAACCACAAATTTAGCACATTTTAAAATGGTTTCAATGTTTGACAATTCCATCTGGTTCCACTGAAATGGAAATTTAGTTACTTGAAATAAAAATTTATTATACATTTAAACATATTGTTATTAATTTCATTTAAATAAGTCTCTCCAGGAGCCTAGTTATGCCTATCACTTAATGAATCTGTAAGTCAATTTCTTCAAATGGGTTCTAGAATTTTTGAATTATCATTAAGTAGAAAATACCAATCAAACTCTCTTATCATTAAAGCACCACAATATATTAACACATATACATGAAATAATACATTTTTGGAATCACTCTATTAGTATATTTCTTATATAAATAATATTTCATGATTTTTTCATATTACAGTAAAACCAGAAAAATATTTTTTTCTCAAGTGTCAAGTAAAAACAAAGCTTTACTTTTATAATATTTTCTACTTAGTTTTCTTTTAAATGTTAAATATTTAAAAAGGTGAACAAAAAAATGAATAGATAAAACTATACCTTTTGCAATCTCAGAGTCATTTTAGTTTTAAAGTCTCAAAGGTATGAGATCTGATTGTGATTTTTGTACATATCTTTTCAGTTCTGCTTCTAGAATTTCCCCCCATGTTTCTGCATCCATCGGGTACATGATTTTTTCTGGTAGGCTAACAGGAGAACATATGTTGCTGTATCTCCCGCTTAACCATTCAAGTTTCACTTTACTCTTCTGGTAATTCCTCCGTAGTGTGTCCTGAAAGAGGTAAAACCATCATCAGCAAAGAATGTAGTAGGTGGTTGGTTAGTGAGTTTGTTTGAAACCAGAGAAGCTGATTGGACAGGGCTAAAAAGATTAAGTATTTTGATATGCACATATACTAATAAATGTGTGTGTGTGTGTGTGTGTGTGTGTGTGTGTGTGTGTGTGTGTGTGTGTGACCAGAGTTTGGTGGGAGCTTTGGATAATGTGGAGTGAAAAAAAGCAGCCACTATCCTTCTGGTTAACAGATGAAAATGCCCAAATTTAGGATTTAAAAAATGTAAAAGGATAGATGGGAGATAGTATAGTTTGCAGGAACAGAATAATTCACTAAGTCCAAAAACCAACACACTCTGTATGTCATTCTGTTTATGAAATCCTAATTCTTCCAAGCAGAAGGTAGAGTTGGTCCAACCCTACCACCATGTTGTTAAGAACACTACAGACCACAAAAAGTAAACTTACCCTACAGGAATAACCACTTTTTAGGTCATCATCTATTTCTCTTCTGCACACAGCTCTTACAGCCAAGCAATGAGGTTTCCATAAGGAGTCAGTGGTTTTTATTGTGCGATTCCATCTCTTGCATGTCATTGAAGCCCTGCACAAACTCCGCATGTCCAGCTGACTGAAAATTCGTATATAAATTTCTAGAGGTAGCAGTTCAAAAAACTTATTTTGACTCTCTTTGTTTTCCTTCTCAGCATCCACAGAGTTCAATTCTATGTCAGAAACTCTTGAATTATTGTTCCTCTTGAAGTTTTTCTGCATAGCTTGATGTTTTAGTAAATTATCCTCATATGTAACCTAAAAGGCAAGTTTAAACATACTCAGTCTCTTCAGGTAAGACTACAGATCCCACTCTGAGCCAGATACTTTCTGGGAATGATTTAAAGAAATTTAACTTTCTCTACTTGAGATTCTCAATCTGTAAAACGGGGCCAGTGATGTTCCTCTTGGGTGTTCTTGCAAGGATTAACAGGGATAGCACGTAAACCATCTTGCCTCACATCTGAATTGCACATTGTAGGCACTCAATGCATTTTACTTCTTTTTAAAAATATTTTTGGGAAATGGGTTTGCTTCTAAACATTTTTTTTCAGTTCCCAAAGAACATTATCTGAAAAAGAGAAGTGATTCTTCACAGACCATAATTTATTGAGTTTAGTAGAAATGACTATTGTGAAAACACACTTGACTCCAAATATTTATTGAAAATAACTTTGAAAATGTGTATAATTCAATTCTATTAAACTCCTGAACACTTGTTGTCTGTGGGAGCTGATGCCTTGTCATTAAGTTCATCTACAACGTGTGACTTAATCATAAACCTGATGGACATTTAGTAGCTTATATAAGAATTGTTTATATATTTGTACCTAATGGGTAGATGCACACCTTTGACATAAATAACTATCTGAAATGGACAAGAGGTTGTGGTCAGTGTCATAATGACACAAAGTCTCAAATATTCTATTCAGTTATAAGATTAATGTTTTAGAAATAGCCTCTTGAAGCCATCCTACATACATAGTTAATTATGAACCAAGGATAATAGTACAGAGGCCATCAAGCAACAGTAACTAACCACTATAAACAATGTTTATAATTCAGCAAGGTATAGCATGTGACTAAAGATTTAAAGTCCAGTTTCAGCTAATTTACCTAAGGTATGTAAGCTGGCAGCTGCCCAACCGAGTGTTCCCGCACGCTGATCCCATGAAGTTATAAGGAAGTGTCTCGGAATGCTGAGACCCGAAGGAATGATCTCAGTAAAGCTTCCTTATCAGATGGTCTCGATGCTGAGTCCATCTCCTGGGGTTGTGTGTGTGTGTGAAGGCGCAATATGTGGGGCTTCCGGAAGACAGCTGCTAGGTACACAAACTTAACAGATTGGAATTTATTGCCATGTAACTTTAGAGAATAAAAGCGTTGCGTCCGCCTGATTCGGGGCTCAGTCCACGAGAGATTTGAGTCCCCTGGCCCTCATTAACCTGATACTTGGCTCTTGTCTTTCTTAACCCTTCGCCGCCCCTCTTGCACTCCCCAGTCCTTGACAAGCTGGACGCGACAAAGGTACATGGTGTAGGCTTCTGAAATCATTTGAAAACATGGAGCTATTTTTACATATAAAGATAGCTTATACTTACTTAAAATCAGTTTATTCCATTTTGCACTTCCTAACAGGGAGAGGGGGTGTTGGAGGAGGGGTTTAACATACAGCTAAATACTTCTTTTAACTTAGCTCATGACAATTCCCCTCTCTAGATTAGCTAGTTACTCAATCTGTGTTTCTGGACTTGCCAAGACCAATTGCTCCCATCCATTTGGTTGTGTATGATCCAAATTAACAGGTGGTTAGAACTTTCATGTCTGTGCTCAGCAGAGGACTTCCTCTTGAGGGTTAGGGGAAGTATGAAAGCAAATTGGTAAAAACAAGTTCGCGAGTCAAACCGCAGGTTTGCCACGCCCCTCTCTCTCGCCATCAATTCAAACCAAAGCCAAACTACCATATTCTTGGAAAGAATCTCATATTAATAGAACGTTATTGTTTGTTTGTTACTACTCCCGGGATCTCACTGGGGAATAAAATGCGTCCTCCTGTTACAGTTACTCCACATGAGGCAGATGAAGGCTTTTGTCGGGGGTGCCTTGGTGAAGTTCCTAAAATCCCAGTAGGCACCCTTCTTCTAAATTCAATTTTGCCTGGAGACCTGGAAAACTATTCCTCTTCTGCCGTCTTTAGGAACCAAATTGCGCTGCCAAATTACTTCTAGTTAGGGAAGAGCTCGCCCGGAGGGAGGGATCCGGGACCTCCCGGATCTTGGGGAGCCCCTAACCGGTCCAGGCCCCGCAGGTCGGAAGGAATGATCCCCGCGTCCCATCAGAGCCACCCTCCTTGCATGCCCAGCGCAGGCTGCAGTTGCCGGAGTTCAAAGAACACCGGCACTGACAAATGAACAACAATAACAACCCTGGGCACTGACTGTCATTTCAGCTCCGCGACGCTGACCAGAGGTTGCGATGGCGCTGGGTCCGCGCCCCGGAGCTTGCCAGCCCGACGTCAGCGGGAAGAGAAGACCCTCCTACCTGCTGGACCGTGGCTGCCTCTTCTTCGGCTATTTAAATCCTCCGGCCTTTGAGTCAGTCCCCCTACATTGTCCCTCTGGTTCCACCCACCCTAGCCCCACCTTCTGCTGACTCGGGTTTCGCGCAGGCGTAGAGAAGAGCGCGCATTGCCTTTTGGGATTGGTAGTTTTACTAGGGCGTCTCAGCTCGGCAAGGGAGGAGAAGGAAGGCGTCATGGACTACAAGGTCCGGCGTCCTCCAAGCCGGGAGGGCGGGGAGAAGGGGTAGTGGGGTGGTCTTAACCGGGGCTTTTAAACATTTGTTTGAGGAGGTGTGATAGGGGAATCCCCGAGTGCGTCACAGGTCGAGTGGAGGGGCGGGGCTCGCTACCTGTCGCTTGGGGCTCCTACAGCTCCAGGACTCTACACATCCGAGCGGAGTCTTTGCTCCCCTCCCCCTGTGTTTTTCCGGGGCGTTTGTAGGTCCCGCACGTGTCCAGGGAAGGCGGAAACGGTTGCGGGGAACGTCTCCTTGCGAAGGGGCCTGATCCTCGCCGCCATGTCCGGGGGTTTTGAGCTGCAGCCGCAGGACGGCGGCCCCCGGCTAGCCCTGGCGCCCGGGGAGACGGTGATTGGCCGCGGGCCGCTGCTGGGAGTAAGTGTGGCAGGGAGTCCGGCCGGACCCGGAGGCCGTGCAAGGTCCTTGCTGGCTCCTGAGGCCCTACTCCCCATCCTGGTCCGTTTCCCTACCACACCAGCCCTGCCTGTCTGGATTTTAGAAGTTTAGGGGCAGCACGTTTTTCACTCAACTTTGAATCAACTCACCAACGTTTCCGTATGTTGCTTTTAAAAAGCACTGATTAGCGTTGTCATCATTAAAATCTTACCCAGAAGTTGGCAAACTATGGCCCTAGGCCCCAAACCAGCCTGTTTTGGTATGGGCCCGAGTACAAAGAAAGATTTTTAAGTTTTAAAATGTAAAGGAAAAAAAACAACCTATTTGCCTTTCAGGGAGAATAATGGCTCCAAAGGTTGTGCATATTGTCTGTTGGCCTGACAGGCCACAATATTTACGGTAGTATCTGGCCCTTTACAGAAAAAGTTTGCCAACCTCTGATTTTATATTTCCTAGAATAATTTCTTTTAAGCTTTTGGCCTCTTGTGGGACTGCGTGGCCTTATTTTTATTGTAATAGTTTTGGGTTTTTTTTTTTTTCAGTAATATCAGTAGCTGACCCTTATGTAGAGTGTAGTAAAAACCATATGAGTTAGGTGCTCTTATTACCCTCATTGTACAGGTGAGAAAATTGAGCTATAGATCTGTTGTTTAAAGGGCACACAAAGCCTTTGAACACATAGTGGCACTAAGCTATATATTCCCCACCTTCTCTGGGATGTTTAGTAGCAGTTAGGAAATTGGCCTGTTGCAGTCTGGAATTTTGTAAATCTCTTGTCTAAATATGTTCACGTATATTGTTTTCTTGACAGTCAACATTTCTTTTTTAGTGCCCAGTTTGTGCAAAACATTTCGTAGACCCTAGCACTGTGGAGCATACAAATAAGAATGCGACACGGGGCCCCGCCCTCTAAGAGTTTTCTCTTGGACTGTGGAGACAAACTTGTGTCAGTGAGCTAATGCCAGGGAGTAAGGGTTGTGGACTATTATCCAGGTTAACACCCAGTGTCTAAAGGGAACCATTGGTGTTAGCCGTAGTATCCTTCTCCAAGCCGGAAAAGGAGTGGTAATTCAAAGTTGTGATAAAGAAGTCAGTCCTAAAGAGGTGTGTGTGTGTGTGTGATTTATAACTTCATTGTGTAAAACAGTCTTAGTGGTAAAACAATTTGACATCGAGAATGTCTTTATGTCTTTACAATGACAGGAAAAGACTTATAGATAACAGAGCAGAGTGAATTTAATTTTAGTATGCCCTTTGCTTTAGTGTGTGAATCATCAGCAAACCCAGGGTCTTTGTTTACTTACTAGGCTGTAATTCTGTTTCATGATCTGTGCAAATTAAAAGGGCTTACAGCAGGATGAATCTCCAGGGAATTATCCTGGGTGAAAACAGCCAATCCCAAAGGCTATATATTGTATGATTTCATTTACATGACATTATTGAAATAACAAACTTATAAAAATGGAGAACAGGTGAGTGGTTGTAGGGGTTGAAGAAGAGGGGAGGGCAGCAGGAGGGAATTGGGTATGGCTATAAAACAGCAACCGAGGGGATTTTTGTGGTGATGGAAATGTTTATATCTCAACCTTATCAATATCAATATTTGATTGTGATAGTGTACTATAGTTTTGCAAGATGTCACTGCTGGGGGAAATTGCTTAAATAGTATGAGGAATCTTTATTATCTATTTCAACTATTGGGTGGTCGGAAAAGTCATGACGTATTTTTTCTGTTTGTCATTGCAAAAATGCGTCATGACTTTTCCGACAACCCAATAAATGTGCATCTACAACTGTCTTAAAAGATTTCATTAAAAAGAAGATTTTACAATATAGCACCTCAAGCAACAGAGTACCTTTAGGCCAAACTATTGCTTTATGGTTTTTCTTTAATTAAAGCTGACAAGTTATTATACTCTTAAATGAAAACTACTGTTTCTGATTTCAAATTTTCCTCGTTCTGTTTTGGTAGCAGGGATGATATGACATTCCTTTATGAGCCATTTTCCTCAAAGGAACTAGGACAGCGCCAGGTTTCTACCTAGCGTCTTCCTAAAGGCAGATGCAGTTGAATCTACTGCTTTAATTAAAAAGAGAAGAGGCCCGGTTGGGGGTGGGTTAGTCATGAGCTTTAGTAGACTCCTCAGGTGGCTTCAGGTCACTACTTGCTGTTAAGTGTCCCACAAAGTTCACACAAAGTAACTGCTCCCCATTCTGGTACTGTTTCTGCTTGTTGCGGAATCTCACTGGCTGTCCTGGAATGCTGGTCCTACCTGGGCCAACAAGGTTTGTCCCTAGGGTCATGCCAAGCATTCCTCCCTCACCTAATTATTGAATACAATGCCTGGCACCTAGTAGGTCTTCAGTACACCATGTCTTTCTTCCTTTTCTGCGTCTCAAACACTCTCCCAATCCTCAAAAAAGAGTCTACTTGTAACTTAGATGTGAAAAGGATAGAGTTTGGAAGTGAATTTTAATAAAGAAGCAGTGCTACCAACTGTTAAAGCTTAAGGAGAAACATTCATGATGGATTCAGTGTTAACATTTTTCCTGTTTTGTTGACTAATGTTTTAGTTAATTCAGAAAATAGTTGATGACTGTATACTATAGTCAGATAGGAGGGATGAAAGAGAAACACAAGTCCTTGCTCTCAAGAAACTTCCAGTTTAGTAAGTATGAGAGACATAGAAGCAAGTAACTAAATGGGTTACAACCTCAGGTGGGACTGGAGGCTGGCAAGCAGCTTGACTGAGTGAAGCGGGAGGGAGTAAGAAAAACCCTGGGACAATGATAAATGACAGCAGTGTCACAAATGACAACTGCCTCACTATGTCAGTGACATATTGAGCTGACTGGGAAGTGTTAGAACAGTTAGAGTTTTGGTAGGTATGGAGGGACGGTCCTTGCAGACTGAATAAATGTATGATTTAAGCCTCTTAAGATTTGAAAGTATAGGCATATTGGATAACTGGATAAGTACTGACTAGACCTGTGGGATAATCACATAACATCAGTGATCCTGTTTAACTGTTACAAACATTGCTTTTACAGTGTTTATTAGTTTTTTTTAATAGGCTTTATTTATCACAGCAGAATTGAATGGAAAGTGCAGAGAGATCCTATATGCCCTTTGTCTCTACACGTGTGCAATCTCCCCCACTGTGAACATCCTGTTCCACAGTGGTATATTCTATGAACTTATATTGACGTGTCATTATCGCCCAAAGTCCATGGTTTATGCTAGGGTTTACTCTTGGTATACATTCTCTGGGTTTTGACAAATATGTAATGACATGTATCCATCACTGTAGTATCACACAGAATTGTTTCACTGCCCTAAAAAATCCTCTGGGTCTATTCATCGTTCTTTAAATCCCAACCCCTGGCAACTACTGCACTTTTTACCATCTCCATAGTTTTACCTTTTCCAGAATGTCATACAGTTGGAATCATACAGTATGCATATGTAGACTTTTCAGATTGGCTTCTTTCACTTAGTATATGTATACTTAAGGTTCCATGCCTTTTCATGGCTTTTTAGTGATGAGTAATATTCCGTTGTCTGGATGTTCCACAGTTTGTCCATTTACCTACTCTACCGCAGGACATCTTAGTTACATCCAAGTTTGGAAGTTATGAATAAAGGTGTTATATAAACATCCACGTGCAGCTTTTTATGTGGACATAAGTCTCCAGTTCATTTGGGTAAATATGGCGCACAATTGTTGGACTGTATAATAAGAATTTGTTTAGTTTTGTAAGAAGCTGCCAACTGTTTTCCAAAGTGGGTGCACCATTTTGCATTTCCGCCATCAGTGAAGGAGAGTTCCTGTTCCAAATCTTTATCTGCAGTTGGTATTGTCAGAGTTGAATTTGAGCCATTCTAATAGGTATGTAGTGCGTTACTTTTCATATATAATAAAATTATATATACATATATATTTGTATAGATATAATTTTCCCCCCTAAATCAGTGTCTCCAAATTACCATCTGCCATGTACTACTCAGCCTGAATATGCCATTTTTTCACATGCCTCACACCTCTGCCTCCATACCTAGCTCTTTTCTCTGGTAATTTGATTCTGTAGGTAGTATCTCGATATCTGTATTTTTAAAAGCTCTGAAGATGATTCTGTTGCGACACTAGAGTTGAAAACTACTTCTAGACACACTGTGAAGAATGCTTGGCACAGAATAGGTCTTTAAGAAATGTCAGCTGAACTGAACAAAATAAGTAACCATTCAGACACTGTAATTTACCGAAGTCCAGGGTGGGGATTTAAAACCCAGGTTTGTCTTCCTAAGCTCTGCTTGTGTTTTTACTCACTATGTTGCCTCTGTCATAATATATTCATGTTGAGGACGATGTTCTCACATTTGTATAGTGTTGGTTATGCAAGCAGCATCGCAAGACAAACAGGTTGGGTGAGTTGAAATTTCAGTGGCATCGAGTCAGCACGAGACATCATATTTGGCTAACAATTCAGCAACCTTGAATTAGGAACTCAGAAGTATTGGATTTTACTTTTAAAAATCTAAGTGATCCATATTTCATTAGTATGTGGATTTATAGGTGTTTGTGAGGTAGCCTGATAACCTTATTATTACTATTTACACCATTATCCTTATGGGAAAGTATATTCACAAATTTCAAAAACCACTTAATGTTCAGTATATTAATAACCTTTTAAAGAGCTTATTTGTAAATTGGAGTCTGCCTGGAGAGCGTCTGGCCAAAATCAAGTTCATTGCTTCAAACTCGTCCCTTCTTAATATCAGAAGTTGGACTTTGGTACATTCCAAGTATAATAATGGACAACTTGTATCCACTAACTTTTGCTCTGTTAAGGAATAGGATCAGCTTAACATCTAAGGTGATGGCAGAGCCTCAGTGTTGATGATTGAGCTTTGAAGTGTATGTTGGACCTGATACTGGTAAGCACTCTAGATAAGAACGTTTTATGGCGTGTCGACTGGT